TCCTTGCCGTGGGGCTGAGGGGGTGTTTGTTTACTGCTAAGGTGTTTTTTTTGTTTGGTTTTTTTTTGTCCTGAAGGTTGTTAGTGTGATATGAACTAAAGCTTCTTTTATTTTTTTTTCTTACTTAAGACCTTGCTTTTTTTGGGGGACTTTAAGGCGTTTTCCTTACTATGTTTCAATTTCTAGTCTTAGTTGAACATGGATGTTATTCTGTGTATGTTAAAAGCTTGGTGTTATGTGTGGCTATAGCTTTTCTCTTGGTAAGGTAATATGCTGACTGTAGGGTTTTTTTGGGGGGAAGTAACTGTTAAGAGCGGGACTCCTTATAATAAGGAACTGGAGGATTTGTTTGGCAGGTGGTAGGAGCCAGAGAGGTTATCTTTCTCTAATTTCACTAACCATTTTCTTCATTCATTGGCAGTAATAACTTCATAAATTCAAGGTGTCTTACCCTTAGTAATGATGATAATAACTGAGCTATTCTTTAGGCTTGGTAGTACAACCGGGAAGAGTTTTTGTGTATTGAGGTAAAGCTGATTTAAACACAAAAACTAAAAATGTTTGAAAACATAATATTCTTAAAAATGCTTTATAAGGTATGTAGATGAACTCATTTTTATGCAAATAAAGTGTCTATCACCATACTGATGAACTCTCTTTAGAACTGCTCTGACTGCAGAGTAGTTCCAAAGCACTGTGTTCCATCATCTTGTCTGAATTGTGTAGGGCAAGTTTAATTGCCTAGTTCAGACTGATCTATGAGATGTAATGCTGAGTTTAAATGCTGTGGGGTGCTGTTTAAGAAATAAGCTTTTCCATTGTGCTGAACTTTCTCAGTGGGGCAGTCTAACGCTTGTTGGAGTTACTCATGTGGCAGTATTGCCTGTATGACTGGGTTAATTTGCTCAGTGCTGACAAGGATTAACTGGCAAGGGCTGTGTTCTGCTTTGTAGAGGCTCTGTGAGAGATGCGCTACAGCTTGTGAGCTCTGTTTTTTATGAGTGGTCATGGTCTCAAGCTTCAGTGAAGTGTTTTTCTGCCCCATTTCTGGTGCTGCTGTGCTTGTTATGAGAACAGTTCTTCGTCCTGCTCTGAGGCTTTTCTTCTGTTGTATCTGGCCCACAGAATGTTTTTTCAGGCAGAGACAGGGTGTTTAAGGCCTGGAGATGAAATCCTGGATTTCATTTCAATTGATAAAATGTACTTAGCATGTAAAAATGTTATTATACTTGGTAGTTGTCTTTCTATACTGGTTTGCACATACAGTTGCTATTTTTTGTTATTTAAGTTAGTAACTGGAATCTGAGATGTACTTTCTTGGTAGAAGTGAATTGGCTGTGTCAAGGTAGGATGGAACTGTGGCTCTCTTCAGCTTTGAGCTGTTTTTGAGCAGGAGCAGCCCTGGCTTGACACCAAGTTCAAATACCCACTCAGTTGTTTCATTATGGACTTCTGTGAAATGTCTTCAGCAGTAGGTGCTGTGAGGCATGAAGAACAGCCTTTTGAGGATCCTTCTCTTTGTCTCAAAACACAGTGGAAAACATTTATCTTAAAGGAGTCCTTTAAGAGGTCACTTGATAGGTTTTTGTTGAGTGATGTAGCAGTCTCTGTCCTGCTGCTGATTCATGCCCTGGGTATCACCACAGGAGGCAGAAAAGCTTAGGAGTGTGCTGGAGACCTGAGGGCACTAGTAGGTGTCCTGTACAGTCTCACCTGGTACCTTTGACCCACTTGTTCTTCTTGTTGGCCCAGGAGTTCCAGTTAAGCTTTGGCTTAAATGGCGGCCCAAAGCTTGTCTGAGTCAGCTGGCTGGCGATGAGGATAAGGTGCAGTTATGTGCCTTATCTCCAACAGGTACATGTAAATGCAGATGCACAATGACATTCAGTAAAACAAAGGTATTGGGTGCAACATTTGCAGCTGGTTTTAGCTTGTCTGAGCTGTATTAAAGTCTCTATATATCATGTGCTATGCAGAGTTTGTTCCTTGCCTTCTGAGGTTGATGGTTGAATTCCTGTTTGTTAACAGTGTGGGACCAGATGCTGATGAAGAGTGTTGGGTTAGAATTATGAGCTCTACAAAGCTCATAACAGATCTTATCGTTGTTCAGATCCACCCCAGATGACTCACTGTGTTTTGTTTTGAACTTTTGTCTAATACCTGAATAACTCAGGTAACACTAATTAGAGTCAGTTCTCAGATGTAGTACAGTTTTTCTTACACAAAGACTAACTAAACTTCTTGAGATATTATGCAGATGAACTGTAACTTTTGGGTTAATATTAAGTATTACTAGATGATTATCATTTGAATTTACGAAGAAGTGAAGTAATTCCTAAAGAAGGGAAAACTGAAGTCCTAAAACATAATAAGCTATTCTGCAAAAAATTGTAGGCCTTGGTCTGACTCTAACCCTAAATACACAGGGTGTTCAGCTGATGTGGTATTACTGCTGCCTGTCAGAAGTGGAGATGGGCAAAAAGAAAAAGCTGTTGTTAAGCTGCCTGGAGGCATTTCAGAGCAGATATGGAGTACCAGTGCAGAGCTTCCTGTCTGTCTTCCAGTGAACTACTTAAACACTTGTAAAATTGTTCTGTAGGATACTTGTCTTGTGTGGTGCTTTCCAAACAAGTTGTGGCTGAGAGCGTGAGTACATCATTCACTTGCTGAGCAGTGTAGCTGAAAAATAAACCAAAAGACCAAGAGCTGCTACTCCTTTTTCGTCAGTTAAGTTTTGCCTTGTGTCAGCTTTTGGATCTGAGCCACCTGTATAAATTTTTGCTGTGTTTCACTCTTTTGTCCTTCGTGTTTCACTGTGTAGCTGAGCTATGAATGCTGTGCAATATGAGCAACCAGATTTTCAGGAAAGCTGATGATGTATGTAGAATTATGATGTACATGATGCTATGCTTCTAAGGCTGATGAGAGCGCTTAATTTCCTAGGCCGGTCCAAATAACACCATTTATTTATCACACAGTCATCTAAAACAAATTGATAATTTCTATTAATGAGAAACACACTCAAGCTTATCTTAGTTTAGGAATGTGGATCTTGTTTGACTTTGGAACAGGAGTTCAGAAGCTCTGCTTCCTTTAAAGGAGCTATCATTGGTCTTGCAGATGTGCTCATGGAGGACACATTTTTGAGGTTTTTAGACTTCTTTTAACAAATGGAAATTAAAAATTAAACACTTGGAGATAAAGATGTCTGATCATCATAATGCTATTGATTTTTTTGTTGTTGTTGTTTTGTTTTTTTGTTAAAGCAGCTATCCTTTTCCTTTTTATGTCTTACCTATTTGCAGGTGGTAAAAATCAACTTGGTGATTTGCTTCTGCTAACAGCAGTCAAAGGAACAGCATTTTTTCTGATGCAAATCCCTGGAATAGAAGTCAGTATCTTAAAAAAATGAGAGGATGCTAAAGATGGTAGAGTGATGAGAATGGATAGTTTGTAATGAATATTTTCTAGAGTATCTTGTTGTTCCTGAGCTAATGCCATCCTGTTACCAAGTAACCTCATTCTGATTTAAAATGTTTTAAATGTCTTGAGAGTATGAGTTAGGAACTAATAGACCAACATGTGCTAAATTTCACATTACTAAGTGGCTGCTTTGTAAGTGTGTAGCTTCTGAAATGCACAAATATTTGAGATTACCACAGAAAATCTGTTTGGGAATAGTTCTGACAGAAGTGTAATAAAATTGACATCTTGGTTGGTATCTTAATAGATTTTTCCTTGAAGCTCTCAAGTTTACAACGAAATAGTGCTCAAGTACCACTTGAAAACCACTTAGAAAGACAAATGGTTTAATTTTGTTTTTTTCCATGCTATCTGCATTCTCTCAATTATGTACTTAAGTACTAAGGCTAATGCCAATATAATGTCTGTGTATTAGAGCTTTCTGTGCTTTTTTGTGTAGCTAGGTCATTAACTAGATGTCTCATGAAACAATCTGAGTGACATGAGTTCAGGTGGTGGCTGCAGATGCTACAAGTCGCTGAAAGTGGGACTAGGGGTTCCCAGATTTGGTCTAATACCCTTTCCCTTCTTCCTGACCTACCAGAAATGATAGCTGTTCTAGAAAAAACAAAAAGGTGTGGGGAAGGGGGGCTGGCAGCAGTCAAAAAACAGACTGAAGAACACTTCTCAGTAGTTTAGGTAACCTGTGTTTTAAGTACCTTCAACTTCAGTATGTTCAACACCTTTTCCTTTAGGTTTTTATGCACTTAGAAATATATTCCAGGATCTAACAATTACTTGTACCAGCTAGTGACCTTCTTTTGCTGACCTAAATGTAGTTTTAAAGCCTAATACCACAGGGCTTGCAATAGCCTACATTAATAGAGTAAGGCATTATGTTTTATCCCTTTCAGAGATGGCATCTGCCCATGAGGGCCAGGTCAGCTGGAAACGGTACTTGCTGGCAGCTCATTTTCCTCTTAGAAGGAGGAATTAAAAAACACTTTGCTTTACTGTGCAGGCTGTTAATTGCATTAGAGAACATCTATGAAGCTGATGTTTGGGGAGGTGTTCTTCAGTTTGCAGATAAAATCCCAGCCTGATTTCTCCTGGGTTTGGTAAGTGTTTGCAGGAGTAATTAAGTCTGGGTATACCACCCACTCAGTGCTTAATCTCCTGAAGACCCAGGGCCAGCAAGTCCCTGAACCTTGAGGAAGAGAAGAAATGAGTTGAGGTAGAAGGAGAAAGATGAGGCAACACATCATTACTGCCTTAATCTTTTCCTACCACTAGCTGCCACTGTGAGGGGAAGAGACTTTGCACTCCTGCTGAAATGAGCTGACAAACTGCACAAGCTGTTTTTCAAGTGGACAGTGAACCTAAGTCTACTGGTCACTTCTTGTTTGACAGCATTACCGTGTTCAGTTGTCGTCACCAACTTGACCACTAGATGTCTGCACTGAACAGAGATGCAGCTCGAGACAGCTGCTTCCAAAAACGGAAGCAGCGCCAAATGACAGGGAGGGGAAATGCAAAGAGGGTGGTGGGAAGGACTTTCTTCCAGGTCTGGACACCTTGTGATAGGGTGATTTTTAGGTGGTTCTTGCCAATCTCTTGTTTCACAGTCCAGGACTAAGTCCATATTACCTGAACTGGATGCTGAAGTGAGGAGGTTTCAGTGTTTGGAGAGTGGCAGATATTCCTGCTGTTTGGGATGTCCTTGGTGTAGAACTTGGTGGGCAGACAAATTTGATACTGGCATTATGGCTATTTAATCCATAGGTGGCAATATGTCCTTGTATTTTACAATGGTTCAGGGCAGAGGGGAGTAGTGGGTTAAAGACATTTGTATTTGGATGTTTGGTCATGATCTGAAACAAGCAGCTGGACCAAAATAAACACCTACAAAGATCTGGGTCCTGTCTAGCCACAGGCCCAGGTACCTTTGAGCTGTGCCATTTAGTTCCAGTTTGGCTTAGCTTCCATCTCTGGGTCTTTGTTCACTGGCTGTTGTGTGAGAGCAGGTTGTGCTGAATCCAGAAGCCTGCTGATCAGATCAGAGAACACAAGTCAGACCCTGGCATGTTGCATTGGGTCTGCAGCTCCTTTGGCCTACACCTTGCAGAGGGAAAGGAAAGTACCACTGGAAACTTCTCCCACTTCATGTCTTGCAGTAGTACTACCTAGGATCAGGAATCCTTCATATGTCTGATACTTCTGACCTCTTATTTTTTGGTCATTTTGTT